TAGGATTACTGGTGTGTGCCACCATGCCCAGCCAATTTTTGTATTTTTAGCAGAGACGAGTTTCACCGTGTTGGTCAGGCTGGTCTCAAACTCCTGGCCTCGTGATCCATCCACCTCAGTCTCCCAAAGTGCTGGGATTATAGGCATAAGCCATCATGCCCAGCCAGATTATTGAAGTTTAATAATTCACTATAATGCCTCACAGTGCTCAGGAAGCACTGCACCTATGCTTACCATTTTGTTATAAAGATTTTAGATGCATAATCAGAAGAAAAAGTACAGACGGCAAGATCTAGAAGGGTTCTAAGCACAGGAACTTCAGTCCTCATGGAGTTAGAATGTGCCACCCTCCTAGTACATTGATATGCTCATCAACCAGCAGTCATTCCTGTGTTTCATTGTCTAGAGTTTTATATGTTTTTTTCGTTATGTAAGTATGATTGATTAACTAACTGGTCATATGGTTGACCTCAATACCCAGTCCTCCTCCCCTCTCCAGAGATTGGGCAGCTGAAAGTTACAACACAGATCAAACCAGGTGAAGAATGTGCTTAATGAACAGGAAAAGTGACACATTGTGTCAAATGCTGCTGAAAAACCAATAAAATTAGGATGAGAATTGATCCAAGGTTTTAAAAAAATGTGGATGTCATTGGAGATCACAATATGTACTTTCAATGAAGTGCTAATATCAAAACTTAATTAGAATGTATTTGGAAAACACTACACTGTGGAAAACTAAAGAGAATTATGTGTAGACAATACTTTTAAAGGTGGGAGTTGCTATGAAGTTTATCACAGATAAGAAGTGAAGAAGTGGTAACCAATATTAAATTTGGGGTTCAGGGAATTTTGTTGATGATGATGTTGTTTATGATGTGAGCTATTTCAACATGTTTGCAGGCTGAGGACACAGTATATAGGAATAAATTGATGACATAGGATAGAAAAGTTATTTGCAGTAACAAAACCCGTAATTGGAGTAAAGCAGATTATGTGGGTGCAGGTTTAGTTACATGGGTAAATATGGTGGTATGACATGCAGTAGGTCTCTTAAGATAGCCTGTATTTCCTCCATGAAATCAGAGGCTAATCAGTTGAGAGTGAGAAAAGATGAGACAATATTAAATGCTTGCAAAGGTGTAAAATACTTGTTTGAATCAGGGGAAAACAGGATGAAGATAGACTAGGAATTTTTGTATGATCACCTGAAAGTACCAAGAAACCACTTTATATTTTAATCATAAAATTAAAATAAGGCAACAGATAGAAATCTTAAGCCAATTAGATATATGTAAACTATATTTGGAATTTTTTGGCATCTGCCAACACTTTAAGTAGTATTGGGAAATATTTAGATTGAGAAAGAAGCCTTCTAGTAAGTCAAAGAAACCAACAAAATGTGCAATGGTCAAAGGATCAAAAGGGGACACTTTCGGGAAATTAGGTCTTGACATGAGCTTATTGTTTTTGCACACAAAACTAGTAGGGATGGAGATGATAGTGATAGTGGTAACGGTGTTGTGTTTATTCTAAAAGATGACAGACGCTGTTCCAGTGCCTCCAACCTCCTTTCCAAATTTAGAAAGGATGAGTATGCAACTCATTGAGTGTTTGCATTCCATGGCATACAGTTTTTGAGGTTCAAAGCAAAGTTCAGGCTACTTGTCCTTCCATTTCTTACTCATTATCCCTCTTACCCCACAAAGGAGCTCTGCTTTCTTAGCCAAATGCACCACTCAAAACAGAAAGGGGAACACTCTTATTGTATTCAGATGTATCCTGTGAAGGGTGAGAAATACATAGCAAATACTATATTAGGATTTACTTTTGTTAATATTACTACTACTGTCTTCCCAATGTCACTGAAATTAGGCCATTTGATAAAGCTACACAGTGGGCTCAGTTACCAGCAAACTGCTCTTCTTGATATTGTCGGAAAGATTCTGTAGGAACACTGTTGTATTGCTGATGCAACAAGACCACCCTGGCTAGATCTGAGTAAATCAGATCAATGCTTGCCTTAATGACATTTCTACATGAGCCACTGTCTGTGCTAGTTTACTGTGGCTATAAATGAACACCTGAAGCTGGGTAATATAAAAAGCAAAGAGGTTTATTCAGCTCAGTTCTGCTGACTGGAAGATTCAAAACCGGGCATCTGGTGAGGGCCTCCGGCTGCTTCCACTCGTGACAGAAGGCAAAGACAAGCTGGAATTTTCAGAAATCACTTGGTGACAGCAGAAGCAAGAGAGAGGGTAGAAAAGTGCCAAACTCTTTGTAACAACCGTCTTGGGAACTAAGAAGACGAAGAACTCACTTACCCACCAACCCACACATTCCCCGTCTCTGCCAATGAGGGCATTAATCTATTCATGAGGCATCTTCTCCCATGATTCACACACTTCCCATCAGGCCCCAAATCCAATATTGGAATTAAATTTCAACATGAGATTTTTAGAGCGAACATCTTCACTATAGTAACCACCTACAATGATACTCACCAGGACTCATTACTCCTTAACACTGTGTGTTGTATCCAGTTTCTCTGTCAAAACACAGCAGGGTTATCATGGTCAGAGATTTACTGCATAAAAGAGATGATGACAACCGATGAACCCCTATTCAACTGGGTGAACTTTTAATAGTAGGCTGCATTTTATAGTATTTTATTTTTTCCAGAACATGTTTACATACATTATATCGTTTGAGTTTTATAGTTTTTTGAGGTTGTCAGAAAAGTATTTATTCTATATATTTTAAAGTAACATAATTGTAGCTTATACTGTGAATTTCTGAAGACTATATAGATAGTAAGTGACAGAGCTCTACCAAACCTGTCTCCTAGAAGAGTGTTCTTTCTACTATATATTGCCACAGTGTCTTTCAAATGATCTTGAGTGTAGTTCAACCATTTCTTTTTTTTTTTTTTTTTAATTGCATTTTAGGTTTTGGGATTCATGTGAAGAACATGCAAGATTGTTGCATAGATACACCCATGGCAGTGTGATTTGCTGCCTTCCTCCCCATCACCTATATCTGGCATTGCTCCCCATACTATCTCTCCCCAACTTCCCACCCCCTGCTGTCCCTCCCATGTTTCTCCCCAACAGACCCCAGTGTGTGATGCGCCCCTCCCTGTGTCCATGTGTTCTCATTGTTCAACACCCACCTATGAGTGAGAACATGTGGTGTTTGATTTAGTTCAACCATTTCTAAATAAAAGCCTAATCTGTGCTAAGCATTATGCTATAAGCTAGAGGAATAATTATTTTTACCTTTTATTTATTTTTAAGGTAAAATTTTATGAGTTTATTTTACTTATATAAATAACAATATGTATGAATTATAGGAGATTGGAACAATCCTAAATTTAAAGAGAAAAGTAATAAACCATTCTATTATACTGAAGTAACTTCCTGTATCATTGAGTTAAATTTTTTTCTGTTAAACCTTAAAAATTTGGCATGCTAATAGAATGAAATAAAACAATCTAATAGAATATCATGGAGATACTTTAGTATGTGTCTTTGAGAAAGAAGTGTGATAATATTACACTATGATTGTGGATTGTCAAATTCTTCTTATAATGATTTCAATTTTCTTGTAAATATTTTCAGGTATTCTATTTAATGCATTCAACTTTTAAAATTGCTATAGTCTTGATAAATTGTCCATTTTATCATTATGTATTGACCCTCTTTATTCCTAATGGTTTTGCCTTAAAATTTGCTTTGTCTAATATTAAGATAGCCTCATCAGACTTCTTTTGTATATTTGCCATCTCCATATCGTCACATTAAATCTTTTTGGGTGCTTGTATTTTAGATGTATCTCTCATAAATAATTTACAATTTTTTCTGCCCAATCAATCAATTCCTACCTTTAATTAGTGAGTTTAGTGTGTTTATGTGTATTGTGATGACAAATATGATTAACTTTACTTTTACCATCATATTATGTGATTTCTACTTATCCTCCATTTTCTATACATTCTTTTTTTTTGGGGGGGGGAATGTAGACTTTTAATAACTTCTTTTATCACCAGGTAAAGCCATGCGGTTACAAAGTTGTTAGAAATTTTTGAAAGGGTGTTATAGTTTTAAAAAAAAAAAAAAGCTCATTCTTACACATATATTATCTAGCACTTCACTGGGACACTACTGTTCAAAAGGCCCTAACCACGTAACTCCCAAACGAAACACTCAACCCAAGGTTGTTTTCAGCCCACTGTGAGTGAAGCTGGGTGCAGAAAGCACAGCCTCTGAAAGGAGAGGACATAAAGGCAGGTGAGTAGGGGCCATTGGCAATGCTCAGAGCCAGCCAGACTCCAAACAGGGAGCCCAGTGGTTTTTTTCTGGGACATTCTACTTGAAGTATTGTTCAATTAGTCAACAATAGATCTTCAAAAGAGAACAATTAGTTAACATGATAAGGAGGTTATTGCATTCTTTGGCCTACATGTCATAATTATAGTTAGCAAATTCTGACAGTTTTAACAAAAATAGCCTCCATCATCTTTGCAGGTATGAAGATAATTATCCAAAGGGCTTTCAATGTTTGCTGGACAACAATACACGACTGAGAAGCTGTAAATGACACTGTTTCATGATATAAAAATACTAGTTTTTTCCATTTATTATTATTATTATTATTTTCTTTTTTTTTGAGACGGAGTTTCGCTCTTGTTACCCAGGCTGGAGTGCAATGGCACGATCTCGGCTCACCACAACCTCCGCCTCCTGGGTTCAGGCAATTCTCCTGCCTCAGCCTCCTTAGTAGCTGGGATTACAGGCATGCACCACCATGCCCAGCTAATGTTTTTTTGTATTTTTAGTAGAGACGGGGTTTCACCATGTTGACCAGGATGGTCTCGATCTCTTGGCCTTGTGATCCACCCGCCTCGGACTCCCAAAGTGCTGGGATTACAGGCTTGAGCCACCGCGCCCTGCCTCCATTTATTATTTTTATAGGCACTCACTGAGTCAAGGTTAGGCTTGTTAAGTGATTAAAGGCAATTTTATTACAGTAGCATGCACTTATTTTATTCTAAAAGAATAAAATTCATAAACAGAAACAGTTTTTGTATTTGCAACCTGTAAAACTGAGTTATTTTGCTGATATAAAATACTAAGAACTCACTTGAGGACCATGCCACCTTCTGAAAATGCCACACACCTACTTAAGTGTTAAAGTTACAGTATGTCCCAGGCTTGTCTAGAGCAATGTAAGTAAGCAACTGACTGCTCTTGACTGTCTCTTCCCCAGCAATAGCACTGATTGTGTTGGGAAAAGCCACAGGGCAAGGCTGCACAGCCAGATGGAGAAGACTTTTTGTTTAAAGGCAAAATACCGAAATGGATCTCTGGTGTAGGTGACTTCTACTTTCACACTCAGCTTGTACGTGATCCCCTAACCTTAATTTCTTTCTCCTTAAGGGGTTGATTTGGATTGACTTGTTGAGAATGGTATCCATTATCTAATGAGTCAGGAGAGAAAGGGATTTCTGTGATTACATGTAAACTCGTGATAGGTCAGCAGAAGTTATAGGTGAAGAGGGTAGTGAAGAAGTCAGCCACGATCCATCTATATGGAGGTCACACCAGCTTCATTGTACACTTTGAAGATTTTCTCAATGGCATTGACATAGGCAGCTGTTCTCAGGTCCAATCCCAGGTTGTATTTCACGGCTGTGTGCATAATTTGCCTGGCAGAACGCTCCATTGTGTACGCCAAGCCAGAGTGCACGATGTCTTTCTCAGATGCACCCAATATCCTGTCTTGGAACTCTGCTGTGGGTACAATGGGAATAGATCCACCATGCTTTCCAAATTTTCTTTCTAAACTCTCTTGAACAGACATGAGCAAGTGGTAGGTAGAATCTCTTTCATATTTAAAGGTCAAACGGCCATAGCTGACATGATTTAGATTCTTCAGCCACTCAAAGTATGATACTGTCACTCCTCCAGCATTCAAGTAGAGATCTGGAATAACCATAATGTTTCTCTTCAGGAAGATCTTATCAGCTTCTGGAGTTGTTGGCCCATTGGCACCTTCAGCAATAATCTTGGCTTTGACTCTGGGTGCATTGGATTTGGTCAACTGCTTCTCACTGGCAGCTGGGATCAGTATGTCACAGTCAGCTTCCAAGATGTTTCCTTCATAGGGCTTTGCCTTGGGGAAGCCCAGAATGGACCCATGTTGCAATTTGAACTCTTCCAGTTCATTTGGGTCAATACCATCTGGATTCCATATACTCCCATCAGACTCACCAACAGCAATACATTTAGCACCAAAACGATGTAAATATCTCATAGAGTGTAGGCCCACATTACCAAATCCCTGAACAACAAATGTTTTATCTCCAAATCCTGGTGTCATTCCTAAAATGCTCATGTAAGAAGCTTCATTGATGAAGTTTTCAATCCCATGGAAGACACCACGGCCAGTAGCAGAAATGCGTCCGTGGATGCCCCCTTGACTGATGGGTTTACCAGTAACACAGGCATGTGCATTAATATCATAGTGGCCTATGGTGCTGGCATAGGTATCAGCGATCCAGGACATCTCCCGCTCACCTGTGCTCATGTCTGGAGCAGGGACATCAATGTGAGGACCAATAAAGCCCTTCTTTGCTAGCTCCAAGGTGAACCTCCTTGTGATCTTTTCCAATTCATTATCAGTATAGTTCTTGGGATTGATCTTAACACCAGCTTTAGCTCCCCCAAACGGCACATCAACCACTGCACATTTGTATGTCATCAGAGAAGCCAAAGCTTTTACTTCATCTACACTCACATCAGTGCTGTAACGGATACCTCCCTTGCAGGGCGTGCGGTGCTGGCTGTGCTGGGCCCGGTAGCCTTCGATGACCTCCCAGGAGCCGTCGTCGCGCCGGATGGGGAAGGAGAGGCTCAGCACATGGTTGCAGGGCTTGATGATCCGCAGGATGCCGCGCACCCGGTTCCGCTTCTGCTCCTCGCTGTCCCGGGTCCTCAGGTCCTCCACCAGCTTGTCCTCCACAATGCCGGCGCCACGGTCGAAAAAGCCCTCCACCATCTTGAAGAAGTTGGGGTCATCCTCACGGTCGGCCACCGCCTCGCTGTAGTGGTGCCGGGAGGCCCATGCGAGCCCCGGCTGCAGGGCGGTGGCGGGCTGTCCCCGGGCCCGGCCCAGCAGCCCGGCTGCGTCGGCGGTTGCCGAGCCCAGGGCGGCGGGCCCGGCCCGGGACAGCAGCAGCGCTTCCCCCAGGTAGCGATACATGGCGGCGGGCGAAGGCGAGGTGCGAGATGGGAGCGGAACAGGCGCGCTTTCTAAGAGTCCCCGCGACGAGAGAGGAAGGGCCCGGCGCGGGTTACCCTTTTAAGCAGCAGCTTCCTGTCCGTCCGGCTGTCCCCTCCCCTCGGGCGCTTGCCACCTAACGGGGAGGACGGACTTCCGGGCCGAGCACCGCCCAGGGCGCCGGGCCTCTGCTTTCCTTCTACACATTCTTTTGCCTTCTGTTCTACCTTATATTTTCTTATTTTCCTTCTACTGGTGTAGAAAGAAAATCTATTAGTTTTGTGATTTCCCTTTAAAGTGTGCATACCAACTTGATTTTATATACGTAAAGTCAATCAGTATCTTTTTTTCATTCTCCTTCTGAATATTAAGTACATTAAAATGCTGTAACTTCAACCCACCTCTTACCATTTTACCATATTTTCCAGTACTTTTACTATTGTTTGTTTTTATACCGTCAACTGGGTTTTTAATTTTATTATATAGTTAATTATTGCTATCACTCTTGAATAATAATTTGGCTAGTTATAAAATTATGGGTAGTTTTCTTTCAAAATTGAAGAAGTTTTCTGTACTTCTGATGTGTATTACTACTGAAATGTCTCCTGTTTATTTTTTATTTATAGGTAAGATGTCCTTTATGATTGCTTTTAAGATCTTTTTATTATTTAATGTAGAGTTTGACCCTGATATGTATAGCTTTTGATTTAGCTCTATTTATCCTTGTTGTTTTAACTCGGATTTTTGCTTCTGATTATTTGTATCTTTCATGATTTGGGATAAAATATGAGCCTTCCTTTTCTTTGACTATTGTCACTCTTCTATTTTATGTATTCACTTCTCTGGAATTCAAAATTTATGTGTGTTGAGACTTCTAATTCAATTTTCTATGTATCTGAATCTGTCGTATTTTCCCTTTATTTCTCTGAGCTGTACTATGAATACTTTTCTAAGATTTATCTCCAAGATTATTAATTTTGTCTTTAGCAGTTGTGATGCAATGAATAAGATTGTCTGAAAATGACCCTGGGAATTCACTTTGAGTTGACTTGACAAAGATCACACTGGAACCAGGGGCTTTCCCTTTTACCGCAAGGGAGTTTGCATCCAAAGTCCCGTTTGTCACTGAACCTGTGCTTTCCTCTACCAAACAGGTACTTATGTACACCAAGTTTTTCAGATTCTTTGTGGCTAGCATCGAATCACAATAATTTTTTTCTGTACATATGTCCCATGAAATCTAGAGACCCTCATGTCTACCAGTCTATGTGGTAATATACTAACAAGACTGTTTCCTAACATTTGCCCTAAAAATCAGTAGAATTACAAGAGAATGAGCTTCTTTTATAGGGTCATAGATCCACACTATGGAATAACACACTTCAGATCTTGGCAAAGCTTGGTGATGCCAGAATAAAGGGGTCTCACACGTTTTCTTCTCTTGTATATGTAGATTTCCTTGGTTTATATGTTTCCTTTGAAAACCTTATTTCTTAATCCATGCAGTGTAACATTGTGAAGTTTGTCCCAACCCCCGTTACAGGTCAGATGAAGTTTAATTGCTTATTATATGTTGTTTGCTAGAAAGTTTTGTGACTTAGAATTGTAGGTTCATCTTCAGTAGGGCTTTATCTAATATAACTGGTTATCAAACTTCAGTATAAATTAGAATCATCCAAAGGACTTATTGAAACACAGGTTGTTAGATGTCAACACTTCCTTTATGTTAAGTTTAGGGTTCTGATTTGGTCGCTCTTGGTTGAGGTTCAAAAATGAGCATTTGTAAAAAATTCCAGGTGATGTTAATGTTCATGGTCCCAAAACATACGTTGAGAAGTACTAGTCTTTAGGGAACCCTTTTCCCTCGCTGAGAACATGTTGCTTCATTGAGGTGTACATTGTTTCTATGAAACAATGAAGGGCTATGACCATTCTAAAGGCATTTTAATTTTAATTTATTGGCGGCACGTTGCAGATAATCTAAATTTAATTTCCCAAACTAGGTGAAGACAGGCCTACTGTTACGAATTTTTAGGGAACAATTTTTATTTGTAACTTAGGGCAAAGGGCGAAACAAAAAAACTTCCTTGTTATATTTTTTATTATATGATAAGTGGAGTTTTTGCAGTCTATGCTTTCACTGAGGTTGAGGCCCCATAATGATTCCTGGCATTAGATAGAATCATTAGGGAATTTCAATTTCCCACTTTGTAAACCCAAGGTCATTAAAAGTAATGTCCATTTGATGACTGAGAACAGTCAACTTCCTCCAGGGCAGCTACAGTTACAGTTACAGTACTTTGCACTATTTTTGAGTTTCCTTTCCATTTGGGGCTTGTAGGCATTTCTTTATTCTTTTATGAGCTCTTGTATGAGCTCTTAATTCCCTTAAAATATATATTCTTTATAATATATGTATTGTCTTACATTCTCAGTATATATGGAGATAATGCTGTATATTTTCTGTATATTTAAATAATGTATATTTAAATTATATATATATATATATATATAAAGAGAGAGAGAGAGAGAGAGAGGGAGAGAGGGAGAGAGAAAATATATTATAAGAAAATTTCACATTTCTAAATGTATGACAGAGGGAAGATTTTCAGGTTACTTGGCTTGCCAAATTACTAGAAATAGAATCTAGTCTTATAATATTTTCAATTGACATTAAAATTCTACATATTTATGGTATTCAGCATGATGTTTTAAAATATGTGCATTTTGTAAAATAATGAGATCAAACTAATTAATATATGCATTATCTCACATATTTATCATTTTTGGGGGCTTAGAAAACTTGAAGACTACTCTATTAGCAATTTTTAAGTTTACCATACATTGTTATTAACTATAGTCCTCATTTTTTACAATAGATCCCATGAACTTATTTATCCTGTCTAACTGAAATTTGGTATCTTTAACCATAGGCTTTTATTTAAAGGTAAACAATCGACAAATGGGACCTAATCAAACTCCACGGCTTCTGCACGGCAAAAGAAATAGTCATTAGAGTGAATCGGCAACCAACAGAATGGGAAAAAATTTTTGCAGTTTACCCATCTGACAAAGGGCTGATATCCAGAATTTACAAAGAGCTAAAACAGATTTACAAGAAAAAAAACAAATAAGCCCATTCAAAAGTGGGCAAAGGATATGAACAGACACTTTACAAAAAAAGACATACATGAGGCCAAGAAACATATGAAAAAATACTCATCATCACTGGTCATTAGAGAAATGCAAATCAAAACTACATTGAGATAGCATCTCACGCCAGTTAGAATGGCGATCATTAAAAAATCTAGAGAGAGCAGATGCTGGAGAGGATGTGGAAAAACAGGAACACTTTTACACTGTTGGCGGGAGTGTAAATTAGGTCAACCATTGTGGAAGACAGTGTGGCGATTCCTCAAGGACATAGAAATAGAAATTCCATTTGACCCAGCAATCCCATTACTGGGTATATATCCAAAGGATTATAAATCGTTCTACTGTAAGGACACATGCACACGAATGTTCATTGCAGCACTGTTTACAATAGCAAAGACCTGGAACCAGCTCAAACGCCCATTGATGATAGACTGGACAGGGAAAATGTGGCACATATACACCATGGAATATTCTGCAGCCATCAAAAATGATGAGTTTGTGTCCTTTGTAGGGACATGGATGAACCTGGAAACCATCATTCTCAGCAAACTGACACAAGAGCAGAAAATCAAACACCGCATGTTCTCACTCATAGGCGGGTGTTGAACAATGAGAACACATGGACACAGGGAGGGGAGTATCACACACTGGGGTCTATCAGGGGAAAATAGGGGAGGGACAGTGGGGGTTGGGGAGTTGGGGAGAGATAGCATGGGGATAAATTCCAGATATAGGTGATGGGGAGGAAGGCAGCAAATCACACTGCCACATGTGTACCTATGCAACAATCTTGCATATTCTTCACATGTACCCCAAAACCTAAAATGCAATAAAAAAAAATAAAATAATAAAAAATAAAATGGTAAACAATCTTGCCAAATACAAAACAGTGTTTGTAACCACATTGTGCTTATTGGTATCTTTATCCAAGGAAGTGTTAAATTACAGCCCTATAGAGTGAATATAAAGATTAGCATATGTTACCGTCAGAATTATACATAGTAGAACTTTCTGTAATAATTACTGGCACGGAGTATTATTTATTTAATGGCATGCATATAATAGCTAATCTAGCAATTGGTAGACATGTTTCAACTCAAAAACCACCACCAACCGATTTGTAATAGCTTCCCTGAGAGCTATGTTGACAATGATTTTGAAGCCAAATCCAGGTTTGCTGTGAGAAAGATTGCTATTCTTCACAAAAACAACTATCAATACCTAACATTATTTTAATTTTTACAATGTGCCAGTGACTGTGTTAAGTGTTTGCATAATTATGGTATTTAATCCTCACAACAGTCTTATAAGATGATTATTATTCTTATTTCTATTTAACACATGAGGAAACTGAAGGTTAGAAAGGTAGAGTAACTTGTCCAAAGTCTTAATATTAGCTAGGGTTAGAACAATGGTTAACAACCTACCAAAGAACATGTGCATTCATACATTCATTGCAGCATTATTCACAATAGCAAAGACATGGAATCAACCTAGGTCTCCATCAATGGTGAATTTGATAAAGAAAATTTGGTACATATACACCATGGAATACTACACAACCGTATAAAATAATGGAATTATGTCCTTTGCAGCAACATGAATGGAGCTAGAAACCATAATCCTAAGTGAATTAATACAGGAACAGAAATCAAACATCACATGTTCTCACTTATAAGTGAGAGCTAAGCACTGAATACTCATGGACATAAAGATAGAAACAACAGACACCGGGCACTACTTGAGGGGAAAAGGGGGAGCAGAGGAAAAGAGTTAAAAATTATCCACTGGGTACTATATTCAATACCTGGCTGATTTAATCATTCATACCCCAAACTTCA